TCTAAGACTTTGACCTGAGAACCAATCCACCACTGATTTCTGTCTAGACCCAGCCTCTTCGAGCTCGATATCATGTCGGATGACGAGGCAGACCCAGAGCTCCTCGCTCTTCTGAGGCAGCATTATTTCGGGAAGTCGAATATAGAGGAGGAACCCGAGACAGGTGTTTTAGAGGGTGTCGAGTATGTTTACGACAACTCTATCGATGTGGCGCTGGATATGAGAGCAACCAAAAATGCGGCAGCTATAATCTACGAGCAGATGCAGCAAAAAGAGTTTTCCACTGAAAGTTGGTCGGAACATGAATTACACCCTAAGACCAAAGATGAATCTACCGTTGCCTTCATCTTCACCATGGACTTGCTCAACTTCTCATTCTGGTCGTTGCGCCCTGAGGATGAACGTTTTGCTGTTTCTTACCGAGAAAAAACCTGGACTGGATACTGGAGTTTGGTTGCTTCATTGCAGAGGGCATTGGAAGAAGGTGGGTAGTAGCTTCAACCAGCACACGCTTCACTGGCTTGCTGTTTGCATTTCTCTTTCATTTCAATTATCTTGTGCCTTCAAGGCGAGCATAGTTAATGCCTATTTAAGATATTCCCATAACCGATCCGCACTACTGGCAGAATGAGGAGGAATGCAACATTGAATCCCTAAGGCACGTGTTTCGATCGTGTACTGATGAGGAGATGCCCTTGCTGGAAGCACGACTTGCTTGTTTAAGAGAGGCTGGACAGGTTCTATACGAAGTAGGTTAATCCAAACGATATTGCAAAATGGAGATAACGCATCGCCAACGCACCTCGGCTCCTTGCAGAAATACAACTGCAGCTTCACCAAATGCATAGAAGCTGCCAACAAGTCGGCCGCCGGGCTGGTGAACCTACTTGCTCGAGACTTTGACTGCTTCAGAGACGAGTTCCGCTTTGAAGGCCGACGCAAACCGATCCGCTTCCTCAAGCGCGCCCAAATCTTAGTGGCGGATATCTGGGCTTGTTTCAACGGCGAGGGTTATGGGGAGTTTCGGGATATCGACAAAATCACCATGTTTGCCGACTACCGCGTTCCGCAGATTTTAGCCACGTTAGGCTGCATAGGATACAGTCCGCCACTGTTAGCGATAGTAGCAAGGGGAGATATCCTAGAGAGCGGGCACAGCTATGAAATACAACTCAGAGGTAAGTTTCAATATCCTGGCTTTCCATCTCGACCGGTGCTGAGCGAGATAATGCAGCTTGCGGCATCTGGTGCGTGGAACTCATCAGACGGGAGATCAAACGCCAACACCCAGAGGCGAAGATCAATGCTATCTTGATAGACTTTTTCTTGTATGACACAATGAAGCAATTGGAGGCTCAAGGGAAAGAGACGATACCACACCATCGGACGAGAAGTATTTGGTACTAATCCATTTGGATAATTGGATTGCGGGAGGAATCTGTACATAGACAATCGTTGTAGTATTGGCTAGCCAGCGGCCACCAGAATAGACGATTGAAATCACACGATGTTCAAGCAAAAGCCAAATATCGATCAGCCGCAGCAAACCTAGACAAGCAGATATCGAGAATCCCCAACGCCAGCGCATAACGATCATAGCCATCGCAAGAGAACAGGATGCCAGCCGTCTCTCCGTCCATCGTATACCTATCCATCAGACGTAAACCCTCGTTTCACCGTACCACACCTTAAGAACCAACTACAGATGAGTTGAGAATCTCATCTATATGCGCCCTCTCGAAACCCGTAGTGCCCCTCGCCTCTTCCTTCAGCAGGACTGCGAGGACTTCCAGCGGTGGATTGAGACCCAGTTTGTCGGCCCGCTTCCAACGCTTCATGCGAGTGATTCCAACACAGGGCTATTGGTCGAACTGTTAGAAACCGCATTGAGCACGGGAATGCAAAGATTACTTACTCCATACTGCGAACTAACATCCCAATATCGCAACACCTTTTCGGACAGAGTCAAATCCTCCTGGTGGACCCTCTTGGCAATGCGCTCCCGCTCCAGCTTCCGCCAATACTGGTCAATCTGTCGATCGGTAATTTTCTCAGCGCGCAGCTCCGCCTCCGACTTCTCGGGTTCCGGCTCCGGCTGAGGCTCCTCCTCGACCTCGATCTTGATTGCTTCGTCTTCAGCTGTTGACTCCTCCTTCTCGACAGAGGAAACATGTTTCGCGAGCGGGCTCTGCGTCGTGGGCTTCGAGAGGTCTTTGCCTGACTTGGGAGTAGACTTGGTCACACGGTGGTTGAAGGACAGAGTCGATTGCCTTCCGGTGGCACGGGTATTGCCGCTTGAGCGTCTGGTGGTCGGCATTGTGGCTATTTGTAAGTAATACTGGTACTTCACTCCGTTAACCAGAATTGGATAAAATACTGTATGCCGTGAGAATAATTGTAACAGTAACGTTGGAATGGATAAAGGTACTTGAGAAGTTGCGGGTCTGAGATGATTCAATGTACAATGATGGAATGACGTGAGGCATTCTCAGGTTCGCAGCTTCCTGGAATTGGCGGGGCAACACGAAAGGTATACGACGTCACGTGATTGGAAATCTCTCCGCCGTTTGAACCATCCCCGTATTCTCTTTCGGCCCCAACCTCACCCGTCCGGCATATTAAGTCAATAATAATGACAGTTTACTGTGCATCTAGGCAGAAACCTTTACAGCAATGAAAGAGATTATCTGGCAGTGCAATGCCCTCTCTGATTAAAGAGACTAAGAACTAGTTATCTGCTTTAGGGAGTTCCTTGATGGCAGCTTTGGAAACTTCCCCTCAGTTGATAGCCTCATAGAAAGAGAGCACGAAAAACTACCAATTTTTCATCTTTGTCCCTGTTGTCTTCCTTCCTTCACGAGGTGCTGCTGCCTTGCTGCTCCTCGTTCTCAGCCTGCTTCGCGTTCTCACCAGATGCCTCGTCTCCACCTTCCTTGTCTTCATCTGCCTTCTCCTGGTCTCCCTGGTCTCCCTGGTCTCCAGACGCGCGATCATCCCCTTCGGCCACTGAGAAGTCTGGTGTTAGTCAATCTAGAAACTATATAAAGGGCTGATAGTACTTGCTGGTCAATATATCATGTCTACACATGTGGAAGTAGGTGATGAAATCCCCTTGGTAGGCCTTTTGGATCATGGCAAAAAGAAGCCAGCCGGGCGTGACGTTCAGTTCGGCTGCCGTTCCCCTGAGGTAGTGGTCTGTCAAGTCTCATTAGCGAAGTCTCAGAATCCCACTTGGGAGCCATAATTACCATGTCGACCTATATCCCAGAGCCCGAGGTAGGTCGGCTTCGCCCAGAAGGCTTTGAGACGGCGCATGTTCTCGGAATCTTCTGCTGGCTGCGGCTCGGGATCTTCTGTTGGCTGCGGCTCGGGAGCTTCTGTTGGCTGCGGCTCGGAAGCTTCTGTTCGCTGTGGCTCATATGATGGCTCGTACGATGATTCGCTCGAAGCTCGGCTTCGCGACTCATTTGGCCGCGGTTCGTATGATGGCTCATACGATGACTCGCTCGAAGCTCGGCTTCGCGACTCGTTCGGCTGGTCTGGTTGGTCCGACATCTTGCCTTGCGATGCTGATGATGAGTCTGTTAGTTGAATTGTAGGAAGAGAAGAGAAGAGAAGAGTGGAAGAGATCGCATCTGTCAGAAAATGGGAGAACTGGTCCGTATCAACAATCGCACTCGCCCAAATCACCCAGGGACCCGCGTGTGGTCGCCCGGGTCGCAAGAAAATGGTGTTGTCCCCTCGATGGCCGATGGTCTCGCCTTTTGGGGAAGTAAACGAGACTCACTCGTCCGTAAACGTAGTCCTCACTTGTCAAGAAGGCCCGCAGGTGCTCACCTGTTAAAGGTATTGCCTAGTATTGGCTAGTTGCATGTTAATGTACTCCGCAAGCGCTCTCTTGCAAATTAGAAGTGCTTGCCTTTTGAAAGAGAAAGGGCGATGGTCTTGTCTTATGTCAGTACCTAGAGGGCAGCCCTTGATACCAGTTGTGTAAAAAGTGGAAGGCAGCAAGAGACTTGCTTGGGGCTTGTTGTCAGTCTAGAATGGAGACAGCCCCGAATATGATGCTCAAATCTTTGCGAGGTCCAGAAATCCTCGGCCCTTGATATGCACAACTGGCTCGAATCTCGATTAAGTCACGACACAGACTGGCCCTTGTACGCTGTTCGGAATGTATGAGCACTCGCCTGCCTTGTGAATAAGAATGCTTATCTGTCCGTAAGAGACAAGTAGTGTAAACTTAGTCTACCTATTTAGAGACTATAAAAGCATTCAATTTCTTAGAAGGTAATTGAGAACAGTCACTTATTGGGAAGACTGGCTGTCACCCATTCAGAAGAGACCTACAAGTTCTGGCCAGTTAAGGAGAGATTTATTTTATCCCTTTGTTCCAAAATGGTAGAGGCCACTTTGTTCAGGAGAGAAGAGGTTTAGATAAATTGGGAATCGCATACTTATTACATTCAGAAAAACGAAATACCCCTATTTTGAAGTTGCGGAATTCGTCATGTGAAGAGGTAAGAGATATGTCAGAGGTCTGACCTGTCAGGGTTCAGTCTGAGACAGCGTGGACAAAGGAGTCGTTCCCATATATACCAAAGGCTAGGTAGCTAGGTTTAGAGTTCCTTGCGGAACAACAGAGCTCGTACCCCCCACCTACGGTTGGCATCGTGACAAGATACTTCCTTTCACTGTAATGCACAAGCTCGTCCATTAGAAAGACGAGAATGGAAAAATATTGAAAAGACTTACTGGTGGATATTGGTAGAAAGCGAGGAAAGTCAGGTACGGCATACTCGTCCGTGTGCAAGAGAACAGTACCTGTCTCCTTTGAAAAAGGGTTACTCATCTGCTCAAGAAAAAAATACAGTTGATGGCTTGGGGAAAAGAAAACTTAGAGACGAACAACTTGATTTGAATTAACAGAGCGTTACAATAAATAATAGGGGTGATGTAAAAAACATAGACGGCTGTCGTAGTTTACTAAGAAAAAAAAAGTTTGGTGCCTAGGGGGTTCGAACCCCTGACCTCTCCCAATTCCGCATACGCCCAAAGGGAGTGAGTTGACCACTTCTCCAAGGACACCATTGAGCCATTTCCCTTAAGACGGTGATGTGTACCTAGGTATTTCCAAATAGAAGGCTTGGTTCGGTCAGTTCAGCTCACCAGGGGGGCAGGTACGGAGGTCTTGTGCAGTTGCCAGACGATAGGAAACTCCAGTACAGACATTGCTTATGCTACCCATTATACGACACCCCTTTTAGGAAGTACTCCCTATTTATGTAGGATACACTTCGCTACCTTCGTGAAAAGCGCCTCAGTCGCCCTTGTAAAAAGGGGATATCTTATTAAGAGCGAGTTTCCTTGTCAGAGAAGAGCTGCAACTTATTCAGGGACTTGATTTATTTGTAAATTAATTTATGTGAACGGCAGTGATTAAATTATGAACTACTACAACACCAACATTCGAGCCTAGCAATGGAAGTCCTTGGTCTAGATTACTACTGGGAGTACTGGGTTATAAAGGGGCTGAATGAGTAGCAATGCAGGCATTTACCTAAGTAAACCAAGAAATAACTGGGAAGAGAACATTTCATGGTCATAGGCAACTCATTATACATCAGGGGAAGAAGAATATCAGCCAGAAGTATCACAGTTTTGTTAATTTGTAGCTAGGGCTATGGACAATTTAGCCCACCTAGCACACGATTCTGAATTCACCTACCCCTTTCCTCTGTATTATAGAAGTTACTCCCAGAAAGACTGCAGCATTGCAGTTCAGGAGCTCATGAGTTCACATCCTGCCCCTATCGCCCTCTCGTAGTTCCCCGTCTTACTTCGGGGGCTTCTCCTCTTCCACCTTCTCTGCTGTCTGCTCCTCTGGCTTCTTCTCCCCCTCCTCCCCCTCCTCGTCCCCAGCCTTGGCCTCCTCTTGGGCTTCCGCGACTTTCTTCTCGGCAGCTTGGTACATCTCGTTCTCTAAAATTCGATTAGTTACCTGTACATGCATATAATATGATATCCAGCTCCCTGTAGATGGCCATGTAGGAATACATACCTGTCTCGAGATCCTGCTGGCACGCCTCTGCAGTCTTGCCAACCATAGTTGCGAGCACGTCGATGGGTCGAACGTTAAGTCTGCCAGCTAAGCCGTGGGTGATGGGATCTAAATAGAAAAATCAGCCAACCAGCCCCTTAAAGTGCCTTGTAAGGGTTGATGCATACGGTCAACAATGAACTCATAGAGGCCTTTGGCAGAAGTATCCTCTTGGTAGAGCTGGTACAGCTGATCGAAATCAGCAGGCGTGATGCGGTATCTGCCCGACATGTTGGAGATGCGATCTCTTGTAGCGTCCATAAGATCTCGGATGCGTCGTCTGGCTGACATGGCGGGCAAAGAAGAGGTCCTGGGAGGACACTTGCTTGTTACTAAAACCAAGAAGAATATAATGGATGGCGACACAATGAGGTCCGTACGCAGTCTTCGTCGCTGTGAGAGTTACTTTGTGACGTGGAATCCCAAGTCTTGGTCTGCTTCTGAACGGCGTTGGACTGCGTCGCAAACTTTTGCTTCCATGTTGCGCGTTTCCTAGTCAGCGCGTCGCCTGCACTGCCCACACCTGTCATCGTTCGGTGAAGAACAACACTGATATCGCCCTGGATTCCACGCTACTGTATTGAGTTTTAGGTACACTACCCCCTAAACTCCAGTCAACACCCATATTCAGACATTGCCAGGAAAAGCGTATTCCCTACTCCCAGTCACTTTGGCTGTCCGCGTGTTAGCTGGATGTTACTTAAGGTTACCAACTAAAGCAGAATGTCTTACCTGAATAAAGCGAACCCAGCTGGATGTTTACAATCTGGGGCCGACCAATAGGAGTCGCTGAAAATAGTACTTACGGGATGTTTGTCTCAAAGCCCTTTGTCCCGGTAAAGCTATGACCAGCCCAGTATGATAGAGTGTTCATGACTAACATACATTCTGTCTGGTATCTATCTTGCGTGGTAGCCATTGAAATGGCTTGGCTCCCCGCGTGTATCATTCGCTGGATTGCCGCCATGGTGATAACTGCTATCTGGATTATCGCGCAGGCAAGAAAAGAAGTCATCATTAGGCTGGGGTTACTATTCGGCTTATATATAGTCGTGAGGCCCAGTGAGGCCCGGTCAAGATCGTGGCCATGCTGGATTGGTGCCGCCGCAATACCCAATAATCTTCTCGTGGTTTAAATCGCTCAAAAATCAGCCTCAATCTACAGGTGACTCAAGCCACGGACTTGGTCAGGAAACGATTGCCAAGAAAGCGGTCGCCTGACGTAGGAGGCGCCCAAGATATGGGGCTGCAATAATTCTGAATGAAACATAAACGGGCCCAGCTTGCTTCGAATCAGAATGATTACAGATAACATATGCGAAGAGTTTTGAGCACATACGATATATATCATTCAGTATATTGTTGTCGGATACCTATACTCATGACAAGTGGGCAACGGAGGGGGTTTTCCGTTCTTTAACCCACAAGATAAGGGAGGCTTTCAACATGCATACGGACTAGATTAAATATGAATTAGGGTTCCCGCGACAATTTGAAACTCTCAGCAATGTTCTAACTGGGGTCGTTCAAACAAATGTCTATACATTCATCCACTCAAGCAAATCACAATACTCAAAAATACAACGTATTGTCAAAATGATGCCAGAGTCGACTTCTATGTACTGCACAAAAGCGCACATGTAACCTAAGATACAAAGAAGCAACCCTCACTCCTCGTGCCGCGCCACCGAAAATATCAATTACTAGAGGGGGAATAAAACACATCAAAAAACACGGGTCATCCATACCTCACTGCTATTCTGAGTGGAAGACACCAAAACATCATTATTCAGCCCAATGACGTCTATTCAACAGACCACCTAGATCAATGTGAAGCCCGCAGTGAAGCACAAGGCCAGCACCGCCGGGATAATCATGGCAGCGACGGAGGCAGCACCCTGAGGCGCTAACGTGGGGGCGGCGTTGTGGGAGGAGTCGGCAGTGCTGGAGGAGTTGGTGCTGTCACCCGTAGCACCAGGGGTGTTAACCGCGTCATTGGCAAGAGGCTTGACGGCAAGACCAGTCATTGCCTTTCCACTGGCATCCTTGACCGAGTACGTGACAGAGTAGTCGCTGATATCGACGAGCTTGCCAGATGGCTTGGGAGAAACACCGTTATCGATGATCGTCTGAGCTCCAGGGGGAACAGCAGGGAGGGTGAAGTTGTTGTTGAATCCATCCTCCTTGATCAGGCTGGCCTTGCACTCAGGAGCGGTCACCTTGGCGTTGGTGGCCTTGACGTTCTGAACCGTGCTGAAGTCGATCTTCTTGTACTGGTTCTGGAGAGTTGCGTAATCACTTAGAAGATCAACAGTTCCGTCATCATTGCACTGAGCGAGACCGTAGTTGTTCTTCTCCTGGGCCCATTCGTAGACAACACCACCTGAGAAGGTTCCCGTCATCTGGTCGCCGTAGATGGTGCCGATCTCAGTGAAGACACGGGGGGAAGGGGTGTTGCAACCGAATTCGGAGTAGAAGACGGGGACGGAACTGCTCTTGAACATAGCAACCAGCTGGTCGTATCCAGACTCTTGGAAGGAGCTGTCACCGCACCAAGAGTAGCTGTTCAAGGCGAACATGTCGGCGCGGGACATGTCATTCTCATCACCGTCAATGGCGCACTGGAAGTAGTTCCAGGTATCCTCTAGGACGTCACGGACATCGGCGGCGGAGTATCCAACAGGAATAGTACGGTTGGCATGGTTCTTGATGTAGTTCTTTAGGTCACGAGTGACAGCACGAACATAGGGGGGAACAGTGGAACCAGTCTTGACGTTATCAATGACTTCGTTGCCGGCGAAGAAACCGAGAGTGTTGGGGTAGGACTTGAAGGCCTCGACGACAGCGAAAGTCCTGTTCAAGTATGCAGCATAGTACGACTCCCAAGGCGCAGCACTGTTCAGAGACTCGCCTGCCAGGGGTGAGTTGACGTCGAGGATCATGTACATACCGGCCTTGCGACAATGGTCAGTTTACAACGGCGCATCTGGCAAAACATCAAAACTTACAGCATTGAAAATGCTGGCGCATTCGTCGTGGTTTAGGTTGGGGTCCAGGTTGTAGACGCGAATGGTATTGATTCCCAACGTCTGCATGAGCGCGGCGTCTCGTTTGCAGATGTCTCCATTAGACAGAGGATCTTTGCCGTGGCTTGGGTCATAACCGGCACTTCCACCGATTTGATAGGCCATACCGACGATCTGGAACGCATCGCCGCTCTTGCTGTTGACAAACTGATTGCCTTGAACTTCGAGGGGTATGACAGCGGCCGCTAGGGTCGCGCCGCCCAAGGCGACAAGCGCAGATTTTACAAACATTTTTATCGGTGCCAAGACGTAGATCCCCGGGGTTGTGGCGTAGTTGGTATGAGGCTCTTCTGCTGTTGGTAGTAAATCTCGACGTTATTATCTAAAAAAAAGTTGATTTATGACCTTTGTCGGATACCACAATCAACACAATGCAGCCTTTTCAAAAATAGATATCTTGAGAGAGTGACGAGAATAGGCCGCAGCCAAGCGATTGTTGTAAAAAGGGACTAAGAGAGTGATTAATAAAAGAAAGCGCCGAAAAAGAAGTGAGTTAAAAAGTTGTGAATGTCTGGAAGGAGTGACGAGAGGTTGGGTTCAAAAGAGGGAGAAGAGGCTACATAGATCAATGATTGGAGTAGGAGGGAGCGAACAGTGACGGTGTAGGTGCAGGTACAACACAAGCCGATGTTACCTAGGTACAAAGACCGACAGCGATGCCAATCGCCCGGCTCTGGTCTCGATTTTACGAGGGTTTGACTAGGTGGACTAGGGCGGTTTTGTTGCAGGTAATCAATGACGGCGGGGATTGTGACTGGCTGAGTGGGTATAGCTCCCTCCCAAGTAGGAAAGACCACCCCTAGAAACAAGTTAGATGTCATATGCACTAGCAACTAGCCTGCTAGCATAATTCGACCTGATGAGCTGATCAGATTCCGATCCGCTCACACTGTCCTTCAAAGC